TCACAAAATTGCATGGGTTAAATTTTTGTGTTCCCTCCTGTTAATTTTGTGTTCCCAGTACGTTCCCTCCTGTTATATATACCACACACACATACATAAAATCATTAAAAAAATTAAAAAAATTTCACTTCATATACTTTGAGAAAAATGCCAAGACCAACTAAAAGTAAGTCTAGTTACAAAAACCAAATAAGAAATCCTGATGGAACTTTTTATAGTAGAAAATTAAATAAAGGAAAGGAAATAGGTAATGATTTTTCATGAAAACTCTTGGAATTGGTGAATAAAGAAACTCTTAAATTGAATATCTAAAGATTATTTTTCAGAAAGCACCCTTGGGAATGTGGCTGAATTGGACAATGATAATTTCTTGGGAGAAGTTCTTGAAAATGAAGTTGAATTGGGTGAAGACAATTTTTCAGAAGTTCTTGAAAATGAAGTTGAATGGGGAGATGATGATGATAGTGGTTGGGAAGAGGATATAGAACAAGAAAGAAAATTTTTCAAAAAAATAATTGAAAAGCCAATAGAGTTAAAATGGACCGATGATGCACTGTTAATAAAGCAAAAGAGAGATGTGTATATGAAAGGTAAGACTCCAAAATTCACTTATTATGATAAGTATGGACCAAGTGGTTCATTTACTAAAGGCACAGAAGGGAGTTCAAAGATTACACTATTTTTCCCAAAAAAAAGTCACAATTCTAATGATTTACCAAGTGATTGGAAGGAGGTTTTAGACAATTCTGATGATTCTGATATTGAGTGGGAAACTCAAGATCTATTTAATTGAATAGAAGCTTTAAAGAATGATATTATTACTAACCAAAACAAAATGAGCATATTGGAGTATAACAAGAAACGTGCAGTTTTTGAATATTTAAATAGATTGGACAACAAAGGAAGAGGGAAAATGAATGCTGGCATAGAAGCAGCTAAAATAATATTTATTGAAGGTAACCCAGGTAAGCCCAGAATTATAAGACGTTGGGCATCATTTTGGTTGAAAAATAATAAATTACCAGTTAGCAAACAAGGAAAACATCAAAAAACTATCAGAATCATTGATGATGAAGATATTGCTGAAAAATGTCACATGTGGATAAGAAGTCAAGGAGGAACAATTACCCCTTTGAAGTTTAAAAATTTTGTGGAACAACAATTATTGGTAGAGAGTGGAATCACCAAAACAAAGGGTATTAGTGTGAAAACAGCAACTAGATGGTTGAATATTTTGGGATATTTCTTTCAGAAGAACAGGCAGGGTTTATATTTTGATGGACACGAGAGACCAGATGTTCTTGAATATCGTAAAATATTTCTTGAAAAAATATTTGAATATGAAAAATTCATGACCAAATATGATGATATAACACTAGAGCCAATTTCACCTGATCTTAAACCTGATGAAAAGGAAATTATTTTAGTGACACATGATGAGTGTATATTCTATTCAAATGATGGGAAGAGAGGAATTTGGGCTAAAAGTGGTGAGTTGCCATTAAAAAAAAAAGGTAATGGTAGGTCAATAATGGTAAGTGAATTTTTGACTGAAAAGAATGGAAGATTACATTTAAATGAAGTACAAATTACAAGTAATCCATATGTCCCAGAAGAATCTAGAGTTATTTTAAAACCAGGTAAAAATCATGAGGGGTATTGGACTAATGATCATTTAATTGAGCAGGTGGAATTTAAAGCTATTCCAATATTTGAAGCACTTTTCTCAAACTGTACTGCTCTTTTTGCGTTTGATAATTCAACAAATCATGGTTCTTATAAATCAGATGCTCTTGTGGCAAGTAGAATGAATTTAAACCCAGGAGGTAAGCAGCCAAAAATGAAAGATACTGTTTTTGGACCTAATAATATATTTCAATCCATGGTTTTTGAAGATGGGATACCAAAAGGAATGAAACAGGTGTTGGTTGAAAGGAACCTGTGGAAAGAAGGTCTGTTAGCTGATTGCAAGTTATGCAGAGGAAAAGTTGTGGATGAAGGTAGGGTTGATTGTTGTGCCAGAAGAATTCTATCCTTACAACCTGATTTCAAAAACCAAAAATCAGCTTTAGAAGAATTAATTTTGGAATCAGGACATTTGTGTGTTTTTTACCCTAAATTTCACTGTGAATTAAACTTTATTGAAAGGTATTGGGGTGAAGCTAAAAAATACACTAGGGATAAATGTGACTACACATGGGAAGGATTACAGAGGACAGTACCTGAAGCATTAGATTCAATAGATGTAATTACAATAAGAAAATTTGCCAGAAAGTCTTGGCGATATATGGATTTATACAAAGGTGGTATATCAGGTAAATTAGCAGAGTATGCTATTAAAAAATATAAATCACACAGAAGAATTCCTGAATATGTTTTTCAGGAATTAAATAATATTAAAATAGATTAAATTTCTAATTTCTCAATTTCATAAAATATTTTATAATCATCATATATATTATTTTTATTTTATATTAAAATTAATTATATATTATATATATGTGTATATATTTGGAAATAAATTCCTACAAATAAATTTTTTAAAAATCTCATTAAAAAAAAACAAAAAAAAAAAAATAGTGAGGAAGTGATCTTTCCAAATAAATAATAATAATCTTATTAAAAAAAATTATTCACACTTGAGAACAAATCTTTCACTTTTATCTTTTATTTGCTTTTTTTTGATGATTATTTTTACTAATCCTCTATGTATAATGGTTTTTTGTATTTTTTGACTTCAGTCCATTCTGTTTATTTTAATAAATAAAATTCATCATTAATCTAATAATAGTATGATTATGAATGGATCCAATATTTAAAAAACTCACTTTGCTTTCAGTTCAATTCTATGCTCAAATAGAACTCCGTTCTTAAATAAATAATTTTTATTTATTGGGTTTATTCCATGAGGAATATCATTTAAAACCCCCATAATATAAATCAACTTGTTAGATGGACCAACTTCTACAACGATTTCTTCTGGACGTGCTATGGTTGGGACATTTGCCATTATTATATATTCGTTACTATTTCAAATAAAAAAATAATTTAATTTTTATAAAGTTAATGTAGAGAATATTAATTTTATATGATTCATACCCATCATCAAAAACACTATGGTTCTTATCATCATCGAAAATTATTTTTTCACTGCCACTACTGTTACTGCTACTATTATTATCAGTAGCACTGCTGCTACTACTATTATTAAAAGTACCATTACTCCTGCTACTATTATTATAAACATTACTGCTGCTACTATTATTATCAACATTACTGCTGCTACTATTATTATTTTGGGTACCATCACTGTCATTATTAATATTATTATTACTTCTATTGTTATTATTATTATTGTTACCATTATCACAGATATATTTTACTACTTTATTACTTCTATAATGGGTGGCAGCTGAAAAAATAATTAGGTGGTCTTCATTATCACGATATTCACAATTATTGTGATTGAAAAAAAAAACACCAGCTTCAATCCGATCATGAAAGTGCACATGGGCAAACCTAAATTAATTATAATTAATTTAAAATATTTTTTAATATGAATCAACTCTCCATAATATAGTTGAAATTATATATATAAAGGAGTACCAAGAAAAAAGCTTTACCTTTTACCAGAAATTTTTTTTACATGGGAATATACTGCTCTGGGTAAACTAGCATTTATCCAATTTTCGAAATAATTGGCATTTTTGTTTGTATGGTCCGAGCCTCCAATAAATATTGTAAGTTCAGGATTTGAACAGCATTCTAACCATTTAATAAAATATGTATTATTTAATAATAGTTTATATATATAAAACAAGAAAGGGGAGAAGCATCTTTCCCAAGTGAGGGAAAAACTTCAAGCAAGGGACATTATTTTTAAGTGAGGGAGGAATGGAGGAAAACTTCACTTAAAAATAATGTCCCTCGCTTGAAGTGGAGAAAAGCTACACTTGAGAATAGATACCTCTTATTAATTCAAATTCGTTTTCCATTATTATTATTATTGTTATATATAAAATTAGCATGGTGGACATTCAATTTGTGTTACAAAGTAACATGCGCGCATTTCCAAATAAGTACATCAATTTATTTGTTTA